AAGTGGGCAGCAGCTAGTGATGATACTTAGAGGAAACATATGATTGATTCACTTGATTCAACCTTATTTTGAAGAGGGGTGGAAGGATGGAGAACCTAACTCGTGTGTCTCTAGTAATACATTAGTGGCAAAACTCAGAAGTAGAATTAGCTCTATACTATAAGCAAAGGTACGGCTCAGACCATATCTTCCATAATCCCCTCTTAGCAGTGGCTCTAGACACATTATAGTGACATTTGTTACTCTTATGACATTGAAAGGAAGACAAAAAAGTTCCTTGTTCTCACATCAGTCTAGATATTCAGTTTCTCTCTTTGGCTGTAGTAAAACCTTTCCTTGTAGCATTCATTGGGGTAACTAGGATATTAAATGGTTTATTTAAGTACTGATCTGCCCCTTACCTTAGAATGGACCACTTTCACTCAAACCTTAGGTCTAAGGATGGTAGAAAAGGGGTATGAATGATAAAGAAGCAGACAGCAAAGGTACACTGTATTGTTATTGTTGTGTGCATTGAATTGCCTGCAACTCATAGTGACTCTATGTACACCAGTTCTGAACCCTGCCATGTCCTGAGCCCATCGCACTGACTCTGATGCACCTATCCCCTTTGCCTCAGTTACTGTATCAATCCATCTTATCTGGGGTCTTCCTCTCCTCTGCTATTCCTCTACCTTTCTGAGATGATGTCCTTCTCCAAGGACCAGTCCTTTCTGGCCACTTGCCCACAGTATGTGAGATGGAGATAAAAAAGGGAGGTAGTTCTTTTTTTTTAGGGAAGGAAAGTACTATAAGCAAAAGCAAGGAGGCATATTCATCATGGTGTACTTTAGAAACAATAGACTAACACGAATTCAACATGAGATATGAGGTTTAGAAAATAATTAGAAAAAGAATAATGTATTTTACTACCTGGTATATCCAATTTCTACACATCTCTTATGTAAAAAGAACAAGGGCAGCATGGAGACAACTAAATCTGGCTTCTACTAACTCCACAGAAGAGAACTGTCCCCATTAACAACATCCACAGTATGAAACTAAGTCCTATAAGGTCAGACGTGTTCCCCCATGCTCCTGTATCTACTTCTGTTAATTCCAGCATCTGTCTTACTCCTCCTCTATTGGGTGCAAAATTAATTTCAATAGCTACACAGACTTCACAGAAACATACAGTTAGGAAATTTATTAGGTAAGTTAACAGACTATAATTCAGGTTGACAGTAGGATGTAATCCCTCAGTTTAGACAGCTGTTCAGGTGTGGTCATAGGCCCTTTGACTTTCAATTTCATGACTTAGGTTACTAACACAATGTCACACAGTTCCCTTAGTTCTCAGTTATGGTGTCTTTCCTCAGTCCTCTAGCGAGCTTGGGTAAAGGCCTCTGGCTCTGTTTCAGGTTGGTCTCTGGTTCTCTGATAAGTCTGCTGTTGCTGCTCTTGTAAGCCTCAGTCTGACTAATGTAGGAATTTTTGGCCCTGAAGTATGCATATTGCTTCTTTTTTCTTTTTGGTGTTGATTGAGATTCCCAATTTCTGCTACTGAAACCACTCCAAACCTAAAGGTATAGAAAGACTAGCGAATCCTCTTGTGGATAGACTAACATTTCCTATTGTATGATCCTCTCTATTCATATGGCAGAATTTGAGTCAATGGTAAGAAAACAATTTTGAGTAATAAACACCACAGCTTGACTCTTACAAAAAATAAATAGGGAAACTCAAGCTAGTAAAGCTAATAGTTGCTAGAGCTGAACATCAAATCCAGATTATCTGGATCTGTATGCAACCTGCTTAAATATTGTAAAAGAGTTGTCAGGATTCTTCTCTATATTGTTAGTTTCAAGACATAAGACCTTGTACGCCACACTAAAGACCCAAATTTTCTTCCAGCCCTAATTCTTTGTAGTATTTTGCTAAGGCAGTGATTCTCAAACGTTAGCACACATAGAATATCCTTAGGAATTTGTTAAAACCTAGAATTTCTTTTTTATTTTATTATTTTAAAAAATTTTATTATTTTTTTTTTGTGTGTACCGTCAAATCAGATCTGACTGGTAGAGGAAGAGATTGTCCCTCCTTCACCAGCAGAGTATCTGGTGCATTTGAACTGCACACGTCTGGGATTGCAGTGCAGCTTCTTGTCACTAGGCCACTAGAGCTCCCCCAAATCTAGAATTTCTTGCTCCAAGTCACAGGCAACAAGAGAGATGAAAGTGAAAACCACAATGAGATACCATCTTACTCCAGTAGCAAAGTTTAACAGGACAGCAAGTAATAAATTTTGGAGAGGATGTGGCAAGATAGGAACTCTTACATATTGTTGGTGCGATTGTAAAATGGTGTAACCACTCTGGAAGACAGTTTGGCACTGCATCAAAAAGTTGAACATAGCCATTCCATATGATCCGGCTATTCTGCTTGGAGACTTGTACACCAATGTACTTAGCAATGTTATTCACCACCACAGGAACATGGAAACAGCCCAGATGTCCAAACACAATACAATAGCTTGAGACGTTATGGGACATTCACACAATGGAGTACCACGTAGCAGTCAGAAGCAATGATTTTGTAAATTACTACCTAACTTAGGAGGGACTGGAGAGCACTCAGCATTATGTTGAGTGAACCAACTCAGTCCCATAAGGACAAATACTCTGTAAGACCATTATTGTAGAACAAGTATGAGGATCCCAGGGGTTGGAGGCAGGAAACCCAGAACAAAACAACTGTAGAATTTCTGGACTCTACTCCTGGCATATGTCGAACTCATTGTCATCAAGTTGGAAGTGATTAATAACTGACCCTCTGTTGGGTTTCCCAGACTGTAAATCACCTGGGAGAAGTTTGCTCATCATTCTCCTGAGAAGCTGCTGAGGAATTTGAATAACCAGAGAGGCTTGACCTTTGGGTTATTCAGTGTAACACCCAATGAATAGTCCACCAACAAACAAAATCACGATAGCTGGAGGAAAGATTTAAGTTGTCAACGATTTAATTTTGCTTGGATCAACAGGCGACATGCCTGGTAGTAGCAGTCAAGAATCAAAGACATGCTGCACTGTTCAAATTTGCTGTCAAGGACCACGTTAAGGTGCTAGAAAACAAGGGTGTCAGTTTAAAAACTAAGGTGCACTTGATCGAAGCCATGGTTTTTCAGTCACTTCATTTACATGGTAGGTATTTTTGTGCCTATTTTCAAAGTTACTAATGTTTAATCTAACACTACTTATATGCTACCAAATGAATGTGTAGTATAAATGGTTAATGCTCCTGGAAGCTAACCAAAGTTGAATCTTTCAGTCCAACCAGAGATGCATTGGGAGAAAGTTCTGATAATGTACCTTTTTTTTTTTTAAATCTCAGCAGCTGAAAATCCTATTCAGTGAACACAGTTCTATCTTGACGCACATGGGTTCACCATGAGCCATCAGCTCGATATCAACTGATTGTTAGTAAAGGTTTCAAAACATATGTGTTATTATGCCTGTTATTAAGTGTGTGGGGAGTATATGTGTGTATCCATACACTTAGACAATAAGCACTTCACCTAGTCAGGCGACTCCAGTAACCTGCATACCATCAAAGATCAGAAAGTTAAGGAAAACTGTTCCTAAGTAGTCAAAATAGAAGTAACAAAGTCTTTAGAGAGACGATTGTAAAAACTTTTTTACACATAAGATTCTATAGTTCTAATAATATTTTCAGTAAAAAATTGCTGTTACATTGAAACATTAACTTCCTCATTGATAAAAGGAGTATATTTGTAAAATTACCTCCAAAATTACAGGTGGTGGTGTTGTTATTTGCCGTCGAGTCACTTGCGACTTATAGCAACCCTATGTACAACAGCACTAAACGCTGCTCTTTCCAATCGCATTGTCTCTGATACTCCCATCCTGATTGCCCCAGTCACTGAATCAATCCACCTCATAGAGGACCTTCCTGTCCTGTCCCTCCACCCTCCCAAGGTCCCTCTCCCATGATGTCCCTCTCCAAGGACTGGTTTCTCCTTACAACATGTCCAAAGTATGTTAGACAGAGCCTCAGAATCCTTGCCTCTAGGGAGCTGCCCGGTTTAACCCTTTTCAGGATGAATCTGTTTGTTTTCCCAGCAGTCCATGGTATTCTCAATACTCTTCTCCAGCACCACAGCTGAAAGACATCAATTCTCCTTCTATCCTCCTTGGTCATTGTCCAACTCTCTGATGCATAACAAGTGATAGCAAAGACCATGGCCTGTATCAGATGCACCTTAGTCTCCAGAGAGACACCATTGCTCTTCAGTACTTTGGAGAGGTCCCTAACAGCTGAGTTTCCCATGGCAATGTGCCTTTTAATTTCCTGGCTACTGGTGCCAAGAGTGTTGACTGTGGAGCCAAGCAAACTAAAGCTGTGAACAATCTCAATCTCTTCACCATCCATCTTGATGCTGCCATTTGGCCCAGTGGTGGTGTAAAAATCCCTAACATTGTATAATAAGTATAAATCACACAATAATTTAGAACATTATTATGATAGTAATTATTGCCTGTTTCTCAAGCCAAAGGAAAGAAAGCAAATTAGAAAAGTGGAGAGTATATTTAGTGAATGTATAAGACAGTATTCAAGACTCTTAAGTGATAAACCTATCATATCAGTGATGAGCTGGTATAGGTTGTAGTTATAATCTCAGTATGTTTTAATTTTTTTGGAAAACCTTATTTCAGTATGTTTTCTTTTTAAAAATTTTTCAATCATGAGTATCCTTATTCATGTATACAAATGAGAATATTAGTTCTTTTTATGGAAGCTAAGCTAAATAATTTTTTTGTGTAAACCAAAAATTGAGATATACATATATCCTGGTATATAATCATGTCATAGTTTTATCAGTTTATAATTTACAGTTTAAACTATTCATGTTCCTCTTTAGGAGAAATAACAATTATTTAAGTGGTGATAAATTAAAATTTTGATGAAATGATGTACTTTCATTTCCTCTAATTTTCCCTTAGGCCGAGACTTAATTTGTATACAGTCCATAGATGGGATGCTTATGGTGTTTGAGCAGGAAAGCTATGCTTTTGGGAGATTTCTGCCTGGATCCCTTCTGCCTGGACCACTTGCTTACAGTTCTCGCACGGATTCCTTCATTACTGTCTCCTCCTGTCGACAAGTGGAAAGTTACAAGTAAGTTTGGATGTTAAGTCTTTGGAGTCATTGTGAGATTTGGTGTGTGTTGCTAATTCAATGGCAGCCCTAGATCCTGGTGTTTGGATGCTAACCAAAAGGTTGATGGTTCAAAGTCATCAGCTGCTCCATGAAAGAGAGATGTGGTAGTGTGCTTCCATGAAGATTTACAGCTTTGGGAACCCTCTGGGGTGGTTTTGTCTCCATCTCTTGGAATCATTCTTTTCCATAAAGAACTTGAATATCATGAATTAATAAAATACTAGTTTCTTTGAGAAAATATAATTGTGGTTATATCATTAATGTATCAAAAATATTTGAAAGAGTATACTGTAATTTGAGAAGAGAAGGGTTTTTGAGAGAGGCAGTCTGTGTTAGCATTCTCTTTTTGTACTAAGAGCTGGGTAATGGTTATTTTCTGCATCTTGCCTGTACAATAAACAAACAAAACACAACAAAACTCAAATCAGTTGATATGAAGTTGATTCTTTCAAAGTGGCTCTGAATGGATTTGAACCACCAATCTTTGAAATAGTAGCCATGTACTAATAATTTCATTACCCAAGCACTCGGGATAAATTGTGATAATGATGTCTGTTTTGAATTAAATGAGATAATACATCTCATTTATATGTCTTGGATTAAATGAGATAATATATCCTAAAGGGCTAGCCTAAAGAAGATGCTAAGTAACTAGTGAATTTGCTCCCTAATATCATAAACAGTAAAACACAATACTTAGTGAGAGAACTCAGAAAGAAAAGGACAGATGAATGATTTTAAAATGAAAAGAATGTATGAGGCATAGGAAAACTACTAGCAAGAAATACAATGTGTTGCTGTGAATGCTAATTAGCTTTTAAAGAGAAAATTCCCTCATTGGTACACAATCCCCCCCCCCCCGTACCTCCCCAAACCCCACCCCCTACCCCAAAATATAATCCACTCTGCAACCCTCATTGTATACTCCCATGATAAAAATAATGCCCTAAAATATAATACTTTTCACAGCAGAGATAAAGAGTAAAATTGATCCTTTCAAAATTGTTTATTTTTTTGTTGTAAATTCTTATTGATCTTGGTGAATTGTATTTGAAAGAGCTCTCTTTTCCTGCCCATTAACTAAATTTCAATGTATATATAGGGATTTGATTTTTAAAAGGACTTTGTTTTTGTTGGTTTTCGATGAGAGAATAGGGAAAATAAAATAAAAATTGATGCCGAGTGAAGCAATAGACTTGGGAGATTTCAATATATTCAGTAATTTTATTGTTGTTTAAACTTTTAAGTAACACATAATTACAGTTTTTCAGTATTATTTCTGGCCACATGATTTCTCTGAAAGCAGGAAGAAAATAGAAATTCATCAGGCAATAGCTGTAAGTTTTTATCTTCTATTTCCGATATTGGATACAAAACAAGTTACTGCCATTTTTCCTTCTCCCCTTGGTGTTCAGATCTGATGTTCATTGGGTTGCTACGAGTCATACTTTACTCAAAGACACCTAATAACAACAACAACAACAACAAGAAGTGCCAGTGTGTCTTTTGAAAATTACTGTCAAGGCATCTAAGCAATTACCTGAAATAAGCAACTAACTATTAATGGCTGAAGAGATGTTAACTGATATTAGTAGTGGGATATCATGTCATATTCCTTTTGTGACCCTAACAGTTCTTTTTTGTTCAGAGATAAATGAGTTGTGACATTGCTACTGGTAATAGATAAAATATTGTATTTGTTTTGAAAGTTTGGAAAAGAAGATAGTGTAGGGAATATGCTTGCCTGCCAAAACTTTAACAGTATTGGGATCTGCTTTTCAGTTTTCCACACAGTGCTGTGTCTTACCTCCTGCCAAATAGTGATATTGGCAGTACTGCCCAAGGGGTCACAATACAAAGACTTGAATGCTCCATTACTTACTCTTTGAAATATGTGTGTTGGAATTAATTTGGTATTAACTCCAGCTGTGATTCGATGAAGAAGCTGTCTGAAGGTTTCCTTAATGTGTGAATTTGATCTCACAGAAGCCCACATTGTTTTAACTGTGTTAATTCTCCAACATAGCAGTCTCTTAAATTCATCTCCGTTTAGACCTAAAAAATACACCCTTTATCCATTGTGTGGTTCTTTTAAAATGGTAAAATGCGTGGAATATGTGACCATTACAAAATGATGACAGTCAAGAGGATTTAAAATATTAAAAACTATGTTGTATTTATATATGCTTTCAAGTTTAATAGATTATTAAATGATAATTACTGGTGTAGTTCAGGATGGGAGAAAGCAAGAAAAATGTAATTTTATTCTTCTGAAGTTTGGTTAAATCCATCTATAATCAGTTAATAGAATAAACCTAGAAGAAGTAATAAATTTTCATTTTGGATATTAGTATTTAATTATTTTTACATCAGATCAATTACAGTCAATCACCTTATATAAAATGTCCAGATCTCCAACAAAGTTTTATTGAATAGATTTAACAATAAGAATGACAAATTGTCATTGTAAACACACACTCCAGGCAATCCAAATGCAGGGTCACACTTTTGTTGCTTTTTAAGTAAAGGAATTGTTTTTCCCTGCATCTCTCCTAACGCCTCCACGACCCCCCCCCCCCAAGGAGACTCTTTGATACCAACATATCCTTGGCCATTGGTGTCCAAAGTTTGAATCATCTATTTTCATTTTCTTTTTGGTTAGTGTTAGTCAGTAAATCCTCCTTTCTACCTTTAATTTTCTTATTCAGCCTTTGCTCTCTCTTCCTATTGCTTCACCTCTTTTATTTTTTCAGTTGGATTTCTGGTTATCTGACCTGAAATCTAGATGTTAAAGAGCTCTTCTCCTGTACATCCTTTAAATACTTTTTGTAAGCCAGAATAAATATTGTTGCACATCAAAAGCAATCTAGAGCTTGTGTTGTTCAGTGCCTTTTATAATCATGGTCTGTGTTACCTCTGTAATGTGGAATTTCAGATTCAGAAGATACTTTTAAAGTAACTGGCTTTTATACCATGGAAGGCAATGTAATGTAAACTTTAAAATAAGTAACTAGTTCAACGATCATCCTGTCTTCATCTCCTGGATATACGCAATGAGTTGGAATTGATGCTATAGTAACCAGCAAGCTATTTGCACATACTTATATGTTGCCTTCTTTTATCGTACTGAAATGTCTGGTAATATAAAGTTCCTGAGAACCCATTGGTCTAAAATGCTGAATAATGTAGTTAATTTATCTATTCTTTTAATAATTTATTGTACAGATGTTTTTCAAGAGGCTTCTCTGTGCCACACTCTTATGCAAGGTCTTGGATAAGGACCTTCATATAAAGCCTGTCTCATGTCCTCTAGCAATCTTCAAGCAATGTGGGACCTAGAGAGGATCTAGAAATTAGGAGTTTTTTAAGGCCGCTTGAAGAAGTTGATTGGTGACCGCTTTATTGTCTCTCCTATTCTGTACCCCTTTTCTGTACCCCTGAATTAGATTTCAATACATTACTTGTTCAAATTAATTGGTAAGGATTTTTGTGGGTTTTTTTTAAAGACTGTATTTGTTACAAGTCTTATTCTTCTGGCCACATAAAAATATTTGGTGTTCTCCATATATTTTAAAGGCTTTTCTGTCTTTCTCTTACTCATACTGTACCTTGTGTTTGCAATATTATTCCCTCCTTTTCTGCACGTGAAAACGATGTTCGACTATGCCCTTCTTCCCTTCAGTTATTCTCTGGTGTGGCTGTACGTAATATCTTTTCTGTCTTCAGTTGAAGAGTGAGTTTGCTGTGCTGCTCATTGTACTATTCACATTTTCTCTTATGGTTAAGTATTTGTCCACCTTTTCCCTTGAGTTTTCTAATTGCTCCGTACGGGTAGAGATTTATTTATTTTTTTTTAAATCCACAAAAGTGCTTACTACTGTAGATAGTCCGTAATAAGAACTTGCTGAAGGACTGGGGAGTTTGTGAGGAAAAATGTCTATTTTATTGCGACATCCTTCAGTGACAATGCATCCCTTGTGGGTGCTCAAAAACATTTTAGCTGTGGTTGAAATGAACATGGTAATGCTTCGTCTCTAGATGTCCATTTTTCTAGTAAAGTTCTCCAGGTTAAATATCAATGTTTCCAAATCTCCTGGTACCCCATTGAAGTGACAACTCTGTTTCCTTTGAAAATAAACGACTTTAGAGGGTTTACTTTTGTGCTCTGTGGCACCTCAACCCATATTTTAATCATTTGGTGCTATTTTTATGATGTGATATGGAAGAGCACTAAATTATATGGTATGATTTGTCATTGGTGCGCCATAGGACCTGTGGTTTTAAACATTTGGGTCAATAGGCACCACTGTTCACTTGCTGTATGTGTGATTAGTACACTTCTGTCTGAGAAGCACCCATGACACACGTTCATACATTCTTATTACAGTAAGCCTGATTATTCTTTCAGCAATCTCAAGAGGGAATTTGATTCTTTCATTAGCTTATATTGCTGAACACCTAAATGACTTAAGGAGGGGGGAAAAGATCCTAGTGTTTTCTTTATTTCAGATTTTCCAAGTCTGCTTGAAATTGTTGGATTTTGGATATAGACTTTCATGTACATTATTAGTCATAGGTAAGCAGAGTGAAGGGAGAACCAGAAAAAAGATACTATTTTAAGTTTGTTGTACCTAAATTCACTGTCAGTTATGTCAAAGTAATAAATAACTCTTCTGAGCTGTCTTCCAGAAAAAGAAATGATCTGGATTTGGAAATCAGGAGCCAGGTTTGGCTGTGTATCTATCTGCCTGGTGTTTTGATGTTAATGAGGCCACGTTAGGGGCTCTCTTATTCCTGAGATGAAATAGTAACTTATTGGAGTTACATAAGAAGCTGAAGCAAGCCAGAAAGCCATGAACATTTGCAATGATCTCATTCATCTTTGTATCATCCTCCAGTGAGTTGGTGTCTGCAGGAAATGAACCACCTATGTCATTATCTGTTTGAAGTTAGATCCACAGAAGAACCAGCTCTGGGCTGATGTTCTAGCCACCAGTGCATGTTCACTCTGCTACTATGCACTGGAAATGGAAAAAATAACGCAATCTGAAGATTGTAATTTGAGGCCTAATTCTTTGGCACTTGGGGAGACTTTGAGACCTTGATGGCCAGCCTCAGATAGTGTTGAGACAATTGCTGCAGCTGTCTGTAGAATTTTTTTGTAGATTTACAAGGCTGTTTGACATCTTCACCTTCCTACCTTTTCATGTCATTTCCCATGCCTCATCTTCTCCCTTGCTAGTCATCTCTCCCCCCACTTCTGTCCTGGCCTTTCATGCTTCCCTTACAAGTGCTGTTTGCTTTTCCTGTACCTCTTTCTCCCTCCTTACCACCAAGATCTCATTCATTATTTAAAATCGGGAAGTCAGTCACAAAAGGACAAATACTGCATAGCTCTACTATTATAAAGCAGGTCTGACATGGGGGGGTTGGGAAGAGAATAGGATAAGAGTGGATAGATAATGACCATTGCATTGGAACAGATGAAAGATAGTCTAAAATGAATGTTTGATTAGGCGTTGTAAGTATGACAAAAGCCCAGAATATGAGATATATCATTTCAAAGAGAACTAAGGGTAGGGGAGCAGTAGATAATTGTGCAACAATGAATGAATATTAAAAAAAACACACAACAAACAACCCATAAAAGGTGAACTGGGTCAGGAGGAAGGGAGAGATAGGGGGTAAAACATGCAACAATGAATGAATGAAAATCTAATTTCTCTGTGAATATTTGTTAAAATCACCATTAAAATAAAATCTTACCTAATTTTTTTTTTTTTAAATCTGGCTTTCTTTTCTTGAGAATAGACCAAGAGCATATCTCCTCCATCCCAGTTATTTCTGCCACTCTGTTCCTTTGGTATTAGCTACTTTAAAGTAAAGCAAAAACCCTGAAATCAGATGCTGTGAAATATGTATTGGCATACTGGTGATCTCGTTTTGTCCGACTTAGAGTTACATGCCTCTGCATTTTCAATGGCTGATTTTCCAGCTTTTCTTCTGAAGTGTCTCTGAGTGGATTCTCACTGCCAGCCTTTGGCAACCAAGCCTGTTAGCAATTTGTACTACTCAAAGGCAACCTAGTAATGCCTCTCTATCCCCTCATCTGGTAAAGTGCCCTCTGAATTACACTGTTGTGTTTAAAAATTAATGTCAGAACTGGTTTGGGAGCTCCTGAGGAGTGTAGATCATGGAGGAGTTGCCGCCTCCCCCCACAACTATTGTCAGTGCTTATGTTAGACCCTCAAGGATGCCAGGTTAGTGAATGAGTGAAATTGAGATAGGTTTTCAAATTAATAGTGAGACTGGTTTCCATGAGTATTTTGGAAAGTCTATAATAATTTATGGTCATTTTATGTCAAACAAAATTGAATGTTTTTCTAAGTGTTTTAAATAGAAAAGTATGATTTTTGTAGTTGGTGTTAGACATTCAAATATAACTGCATTTCACTGCTTGTTTAGATATTTCACATTGCCATCATTTATGTGGTTCTCTGGATTTTGTGCTATCTGGCATTCTTTTCTTAGGCAATATAAAATTTTTTAATATATCTGTTCATTATTTTTTGTCATAGCTATGGGAGAGCAGTGCATAGTGTTTTGACTAAAAAAAAAAAAGAATTGAATCAATTAGGAACCTATTAGCCTGAAGTTAAATTAAGATTATTATTGTAATAGTTTACCTTTAGTTATTGGATATTAAACTTTATCAGTTATGTTAATAATTTCTAGGTTAAGCAATATAAGGAACTATTATTAAGACTTACTTGAGCTAAATTTTATTATTAAAATAGAAGCTGTAAATTCTTACAGTAAGCTAAAATTCTAATTGTTGAATTTGTTGCATATGCCAGATAAACTATTTATTAATATTAATATATGAATTTTATCTCTCTGTGTATATATATAAATATACATTTATATCAGCCAACAATTGCACTTATAATTTATTCCACATTTTTCTAACAGATACCAAGTACTTGCTTTTGCAACAGATGCAGATAAAAGGCAAGAAACTGAACAGCAAAAACTTGGTTCTGGAAAAAGACTAGTGGTAAGACCTTTCTTTATATATAAAAATTTTAGTAATGTCAAATCTAATCACAGACATTTGTTTAGTTTACGATTCCTGAGGAGAAAATAAAACAAAAAGATTTTTTCAACCATTTCTCTATTCTGCTACTATATCAGGGATTAGAGAACTAAGTAGATATTGTCAAACAATAAGGATACATGCCTGGTCATATTAAAGAGAATATAGAGTTATACCAGTAGAACTGTAGGTACTCACATAATTTATAACTTAAGTGATTGTGAGCTAACACATTTAAAATAAATGAAAGATTAAGAGCATCCCTTCCTTCAAACATTACTACTGGTGAACACTGGGAAAATCTGCTTTCAAGGACCTCAGCAAAGTGCTAAAGAGCAAGGATGCCAATTTAAAGACTAACATGCACCTGAGATCCAAGCCACTGTGTTTTCATTTGCTTCCTATGCATCTAAAAATTTGACTGTGAATAAGGGGGACCAAATAAGAATCAATACCTTTGAATTGTGACGCTGGTGAAAAATATCGAATATACCATGAAATGCTTAAAGAATCAACAAATCAACCTGGAGGACATGGAGCCACAATGCTCCTTAGAGGCAAGGATGGTGAAACTTTGTCTCACATATGTTGAGCATGTTATCAGGAGGGGCAAGCCTGTGGGGAGGAAAGATAACAAGCTGGAAAATATGATTAAGTCAGAGAAAAAGAAGAAAACCCTCAATAAAATGGATGTAGTGACTGTTAACAATGGGCTCGCTCAAGCATGATATCATGAGGATGGCACAGAACAGGGCAAGCTTGTGATGTATTGTTCATAGGGTCACCATGAGTAGTAGTTGACCCCAGAACATGTAGCAACAATAAGAAGTAGTGAGTATGTCACATATATGTAAGAGAAAAAAAAATTAATAGCCTACAAAGATGGAATTGATAAAAAGACAAAGGTAAGAGTTTTAGAACTTGGAAAAAATAGTTAAAAAATAATATGAACTTTGTAAGTAAACCAGTATAAAATGAAAATTTTATTTTAAAAATATTATTTTAAACTATATTTTCTCAGGTTAGAAACTAGGGTATTGATGATTATGAGAAACTGCTTAAATAGCAAAGAAAGAAATAGAAGAAACTGACAATTAATGATGGAAATAATGAAGTAAATTTGCCAAAGACACAAAGGAAACTTAATGAATAAACATGTAGAATTTAGAATGCAAAGGGAAAAATGTCAAAGACAGACAAGGAAGAATTTATGTTTTATTCTTTTAAATTAAAAAAAATATTTTATTGTTTTGTGTGTGTCAAATTGGATCTGACTGGTACAGGAGGAAATTGTCCCCCCTTCTCCAGAAGAGCATCTGATGGATTCAAACCATGTGCCTCTGGGATTGCAGTGCAGCTTCTTGCCACTAGGCTACCAGAGCTCTCAGAATTTCTGTTTTATTTAAAACATAACAGGTTTAAGGAGACACCATAGTAATAATGGTTACAGCATAGTCTTTAGAATCAGACTTTGAATCCAAACTTTATTAATGGCTTGTTTTGAGCAGAAATAATTACGTTGCTAAAAACCATTTTTCTCACTTGCAAAATGTGGATAATACCTACTTTACAAGATGCATTAAAGGTAAATGATGCATATCACATTGCAACATTCCTAGATAATGATGACAGTGATAATGGTGATAAACTTGACTTTGGCATGCTTCTTGATGCTGGTTTTTTGCTTGTGTCTTATATACTGCACTCTGGTCATATGTATATTCTGATTATTCTGAATATTATGGTTTTTCCTTGCTACTAGGTTTCTATATACGATTTTTCTTCTATTTGGAGTATACTTCAGCTATTCATTTGGAGTTATTTGTTGATATTACTTTGTACCTCACATTGAGAATATATTTTGAAGGCAATTACAATTGAGTATAGTATCAGTTACATTCATTTGCTCATAGTACAAGATTCTAAATGAGGAATAACTGTAAACATTCCTTAATGATTGGAATGTGGAATATATAAAGTATGTGTTAAGGAAATTGGAAGTTGTAAGAAAAATGAAACGGAATGCATAAAGATCAGCATCATAGGCATTGGTGAGCTGAGATGGACTAGTTTTGGCCATTTGGAATCACAGCATTATGTTTAACTATGCCAGAATGACAAAAATGAAAAGGAATGGCATTGCATTCACTGTAAAAAATTAAAATCATTCAAAACTATCCTGAAGTTTTGTGAGTGATAAGATACTATCCATACACATACAAAGAATATTTGTTAGCAAAACTTTTATTCAAATATACATACCAAATACCAAAGCCAAAAATGAAGAAATTGAAGATTTCTGTCAACTTTTGCAAGAAAGTGCTGGTGGCTTAATGGTAAGGAGTTGTCCTGCCAACCTAAAGACAGTTGGTTTGAATCTACCAGCTACTCCGTAGGATAAAGATGGACTCTCTCCTCCTCATGTGATTTACAGCCTCTAAAAATCCACTGGAGGGTCAATTATGAGTTGGTTCCAATTTGACAGTATAATACAAAACAATGACAGTGAGCATCTGTAATGTGAATTTGATTGAGCATACAAACAAGATGCATCAGTAATAATTGGTGCCTGGAAAGCTGGACACAAGTAAGGACTGTTAGCTAGAAAATATGTACTTGGTGACAGAAATGAGAAAGAACAATAGAATTTTAGACAACCAATTATTTATTTAGTGCAAATACATTTTTAAAGAAATATAAATGGCAACTGGACACATGGGCATCACCCACAATTGTGGAAAGAGCTGGTGGAGAAAATTCAGGATTAGTAGTCAAAATAAGGCTCAGCCTGATTGTGGAAGAGGTATTTCATTAGCCATGTGCAAGTTCAGACTGGAGCTGAAGAAGATGAAAATAAGTCCACAGAAACCAAACACAGCCCTGAGTCTATCCTACTTCAATTTAAAAACCATCTCCTGAATAGATTTGATGCATTGAACATAATAACAAGACTAGACTAGTTGTGGGATAAAGTCAAGGACATTATCGATGTGGAAAGTAAAAGATAATTACAAAGACAGGGGAGAAAGAAAATATAAAAATGGATGGCAGGAGAAACTCTGAAAATTGCCCTGGAATGTAGTAAGTCTAAAACAAAAGACATGTGGAAGTAAGAGATGAGCAGAACATTTCAAAAGGCAATTTGAGAAGACAAAGCAGAGTAGAAATATGGGAAGAACTAGAATTAGAAAACCAAAAGGGGAACACTCATTTGGCATTTCTAAAGCAGGCATTTTTGATCCATTTCATTAAGGTTCTTCCTCTCTTTTACTGAGCTTTCATCTAGCTTGAGGTCCCTTTCCAAGGACACCCCTTCTAGCAGTATACTCAAAGTATGTGAGACAAAGTGTCACTATCCTTTCTTCTAAAGAGCCCTCTGACTGCACCTTCTCCAAGACTATCTGTTTGTTCTTTTCGTAGTCCATTGGATATTCAATATTCTTCTCCAACACCACAACACAAAGGCATTCAGTTTTAGTCTGCCAACCGTATTCATTGTCCAGACACATAACAAGTGATTGAAAAGACTATGGCTTGAATCAGGTACACTTACAGTGACCTTATTACCCCTCAGTACTTTGGAGAGGTCTCTGACACTTGAAAACAGACTTTGTTTTCCACCACAATAAGTCTGTTGAATTTTTGGCTGCTGGTGCCAAGGATGTTGATTGTGGATCCAGGTAAGATTAATTCATTGACAATTTCAGTCTATCATCATGATGTTGCCTATAGGTCCAGTGTGAAGATTTTTGTTTTCTTGATGTTTAAACTTAATCCATATTGAAAGCTATCATCTGGCCATCTGTTTTCTATGTATCCTATCTTTTCTTAATTTTTCTTGCTTTATTTTAAATTAATATTTGGTATAATGTAATTTTATCCCTTTTTTGTTAATTGACTATTTTTAAAATATTCCTCTAGTTTCTTTAGTGTTTATAGCTTTTATTAATGACAGTGTGCTCTCAGGTGATATGATATAATTTCACATACTTTCATTTCTCTCCTTCCAGTTTTTCTGATATTGTGGCTATAACTTTTCATTTTATATGCACATAAACTATCCAAAACTTATCTGTCAGTTTACCATAATACAGTGGCTTGCATGTTGCTTTGATGGTGGAAGCTGTGCCAGCAGTGTTTCATATACCAGCAGGGTCACCGATGGAGGATAAGTTTCATGGAAACTTCCAGATTGAAATAGATTAGGACACAAGATTGACTGACTACCTAGTTCTGAAATAATGGGACCTCAAAATATCTATGAATAGCAATAGAACACTGTCCAATGTACTTGGCATTAGGATGAGCAGTTTCCTCCTATGTGATTGACTTACTACATTTGGAAACCTGCTGGAGGATTCCAACTTGATGGTGAACAACAACAACAATGGGGTGAAGTGAATCAAACAATCATATGATCTGCTGTGCCAGGAATGAAAATGGAGGAAAAGTTATGCTGCATTCATCATAAAAAGGACCTATCAAGAACTTCTCTGAAATGTACTTCTGTCAGAGACATGGTTATTTCCACATGAATATAATGAAAACCTGATAATATGACTATTACTCAAATGTATACACCAAGCACCAAAGCCAAAAATAAAGAAATGGAAGGTTTTCACCAGCTTCTGTAGTAAGAAATTGATCAAACATGCAATCAAGGTGCTGTAACAATAACTGGTGAGTAGAATATAAAAGTTGGAAATGAAGAAGGGTTAGCTGTTGGAAAATATGGCCTTGGTAACAGTCATGAGGCTGGAGATCACATGATAGAATCTTATGCAATCAGTGATTTATTCATGGAAAATGCTATTAATAAGCAAAAAATAACTATAATAACACATATGATATGTGTATCACCTGCCGGGACACACAGGAACCAAATTGACTGTAATTTTAGAAAGAAACAGTGATGAAGCTGCATTTCAGTAGTCAGAACAAAGCCAGGGACTGACTATGGAATGTTGTTGTTGTTGTTGTTGTGTACCAGAGAGTTGGAGCTGACCGATAGCTGACCCTCCGGTAGGTTTTCAGAGGCAATTAATCACATGTGAGGGAATTAAACATCCTTCTCCTATGGAGCTGCTGGTGGTCTCGAACTGCGTGCCTGCAGGATTACAGTGCAGCTTCTTGTCACTAAGCCACCAGAGTTCTCTGACTGTGGAACAAGCCAAAAATTTTTCCTTTGCAAGTTGAACAAAATAAAAAAAGTCCACATGAGAGTAAATAAAATCTTGAATTTATCTCACCTGAATTTTAAAACCATCTCAAGAATAGATTTAATTTATTAAACACTACAATGACCAAACCCCAGATAAGCTATTTGATAACATCAAGGATATTATACATAAAGACTGCAAAAGGCTATTCAGAAGAAAGAAAACACCAAAATAGATGTAAGGAAGACTGACATTTTCTCTTGAATGTACAGAAGCTAACTTGTAATGAAGAAATGATTAAATAAGGATATTAAAAAATATTTCAGAGGACAACATGAAAGATGAAGAAGAGTATTATAATGAAATATATGAAGCCTTGGAGTTAGAAAACTAAAAGTGAAGAATACTCTCAGTATTGCTCAAGCTGAAAGAACTGAAGAAAAAAAGTTCAAGCCTTGAGCTGCAATATTGAAGGATTCTATGGGGGAAATATTTAATGATGTGAGAAGAATAGAGTCATTGTACCATAGAATCAAATAGAATTGATTGACAGCGAACCATTTCAGAAAGTCGTATAGTCAAAGCTTCACTGAAGAATGTGGTGGGAAAAAAAGGCTCCGGAAGAAAGAAGAAAGAATAAATGAAGAGAATACTACTCTATTTTTCTGCTCTGTGGTAAAGCACTTTCTTAACTGTTTTTATGTGACTGAGATATGCTGTTTTTAAAAGTTAAATTAATCTTGGGTTTTGCTTTGCAGGTGGATTGGACTCTTAATATTGGAGAACAAGCCCTTGATATATGTATTGTCTCTTTCAATCAGTTAGCATCTTCTGTTTTTGTTCTTGGTGAGAGAAACTTTTTTTGCCTTAAGGACAATGGACAAATTCGGTTCATGAAGAAACTTGATTGTAACCCAAGTTGTTTTCTCCCTTATTGCTCAGGTGTGTATAAAGAAGTTTTTTGTTTTCCGTATGTAAAGGACATGCACATCATGCTATGCTACATCCATCAGAAAAAAAACCCCAAAGCTGCAATAAACATGGGTGTGCATATATCTGCTTGGGTGTCAGTTATGGTCTCTTCTGGGTATATTCCCAGTAGTGGTATTGTGGGGTCAAATGGTATCTCTATTTGCAACTTTTTGAGAAAGCGCCATACTGCTTTCCACAGGGGTTGC